CCTTCACACATTCCTCCTCTCACTGATCGATCTTGTCTTTTGCTCCGTACCCCTTTCCTCTTTGCTGCTTAATGCCACTTATGTGTTTGATCATGTGCTTATGCTCCCTCCTCTGCTTGTGCTACATGGGGTCCTACCTTCCTTCATCCTCCTCCATTTCCTTACTTTGATCCTTCATTTGATCTCCCCTTCCTCAAAACTTCTTCTTTTCTCCTTCTCCCCATACAACGGATGGATCACTACTGTATATCTTACTTTCTCACTTCACTCCTACTGTACCTATGGTTTTTTTCTCACCTTCCCTTTGTTATATTTTTTGTTGTCTTTCACTCAATCTCCACCAACCATTCTCCTGCTCCCCATTCCTTTATATTCACTTTTCTTCACTTACTTTCACTTCTTCTTCCTTGAACCTCTGACTATCTTTCTGCCTCTCCTCTCTCCTCCTTTTGGGCCCCTGCCTCCCCAGGCTGGGACTCTTATCCCCCCAGACCTTTCTGCGAGACAACAGTCCCCTCCTCCTGCCTCTCCCCTCTCGCGCTCTAACCTCTGCTCTCTTCTGTATTCTGCTCCCTCTGGCATGGCTGTAGTGTAAGGTAAGTTCTCCGCCTCTTCCTGAATGCAGCCCCCTCCCTCATCCTCCTCCCAACCCTTTCTTTACCCCGTTACACTGCGCTCAGTGTCACTGACACACCTAGCCCTCCTCATCATCACCACAGTCATCTCCATGCCCTCGCCTTAACTACGAGCACCAGGCAGGTCAACAGTCCAGCTCACAGGCCAGCTGCTCACAGTGTCCAGGTGGAGGCTTGCTGACAAAATAATCCGACACATGGATGTTAATAGACAGCTCTCAGCGCTGAAAACAAAACAATATTCACAGTCTAACAAGAGTAATGAAGTCCAGACAGGTGGTGGCAAATTTTACAGTTTTGAAATATTACATTCCCTAAAATGTTTCAACACAGTGTCAGCAGATCAGATCCAATTCTTATTAAGTGGCTTTGAGTTTGAATCTGCATTTGTATAATCCTAGAGGCATTTTTAAAGCAAAAATTAACATATACTGTACAACTGTCAGTGATACTGTGTTTGTGTGTCAATGTGTGATGTAATCCATCACTACCTGTTTGTTTGTTTTGTGCTTGCTACTACCTCTGCCACAAACTGTCATGTCTCTGACCTAGCTGATCATTTTCAAGCTGATTTATATATTTCAGTGATTCTACTTGACAAAGATTGTTGTTAGGTCCAACATTTATTTCACTGAAAGGACTTTTTCCATTCCTGCAGTATATCAACATCAGTTGCAGTGCAGGGCATCTTGTGACATTAATTACTTTATAAATAAAGGCACATTTGGCCAGAGTTTCATCTGACTAACCTCCTCCATCCAGCTCTTTGCATGACTCTGTGGATTGACTGCTGCAACAGCTCTTCATCCCTTTTTCCACTCATGGCTGTAAGTCAGTCTTAGGACAGCAACTTGACTCTAAACCAGGAGCTCCCTCCTCACTGCCCTCTGGTTTCTGATCAAAAAGCCAGAAACACACAAGCGTGCACACGCACACATGCTTTAAAACACATGCAGTTTACCAGCCATCATGCCCATCTATCCGCCTTCGTGCTTCCACCTCCACAGCATCAACCATCCCCCTCCCCTCCAAAATCCCCACCCCAAACCTCCCGCTTTGCAGAGGCCCCTGCCTGCCCTGGCTGCACTCCTGGCTCACTGGCACCGCCCTGCTGGATGGAAGAGGCAATGAACAGGCTAAGCAAAAGCAATCTTCCACAGCTTTTCTGTGTCTTAGTTTCAAAACTTCCCTTCTCCACTTTCAACCCCGCACTTTTATGGCTTTGGTTTTGTTTTTCTTTTCTCCCATTGTCAATTCTGACCTCAAACACTCAGTGTCAGAATGTCTTCCCTAGTTTTTGTGCTAGTATGTTTGTAGACTTTGTGTCTCACATCTTGTCCTGTGACATTTGGTTTTCCATTGGATTCATGTACTTACAGTAGTTCGACTGCCATGTTTACAGTCTAGTTACCTCTTATTTGTGCACAACATAAACAGATCCAGTTATGTAGAATAGCACCAGCCATTCTCTGAGGCATGAGAGTCATGCATCTGTTGAGTGTTTGAGGTTATGGCTGATTAAAAAATGCCAGCATGAATCTGGATGTGAGAGAGTACAGAAACTGCAGTCGATCATTCATGTGTTTGCGTGTATCGATCAGATTGTATACATGGCACGTTTGGATTTGTAATGCCCTTTTTTGGTCACTAATGTTCACACTCCTCTTCTTTCCCTCCCTCTTTCACTGTCTTTGTATCCCCGCAGCACCCGTAAACAAAACTACATGATGAACTTTGCCAGACAGACCGGCGTGCGTCACTACTACAGCCGCAAGAGGCGGGCACTGCGTCAGCGTGCCTAAACTCAACAAGAAGGGATTTGCCCTCTAACCTGCCAATCACACAGCAACCCGCCACGCACATCCTTTTTTCCTGATGACATGTTGTCCTGTCAATTCCCATCCACCAGTGGATTCCAGTCTGTTTATGCCAGCCAATCAAGGCCTTCCCAACCACACAAGTTGGTGGGAATGAAACTCTGTCATTATGTTTACTTTTTTCCATGGACAGTGGGGGTTTCTAGTTGTTTTCTAATTCTTGCTGTGGTTCCTCTGATTCCTGTTCCCACCCGCGATATCCCTCCCTCTGGCTCACCTCCCCATCACTCCCACACCTTCTCCTCACCCTCTTTTTCCTACCACACTGTGAAATTGAGAGATAATATATCACTGCTGAACGTCAGGGGGAGGACCGCTCCACTGCCCCCAACCAGTATGCCAGGAGACAGATGATGATACTGACCATTAAGAGGAATAGCAGTGATGAAGAAGCTCAAAAAAAGTACTGTGTTCTTGCTGTTTTGTGTGTCTGTGGGTTCCTTTTGTGATGAGTTGACTGTGGTGTTCTGTTTATTTGTTTGTTCGTTTTCTACTAATTCATATGCTTTTTGGGTGGGAGGGGAGGGAGGGGTGCTGGGTTTTGTTTCCCTTTCCTTGTTTATCTGGACCGGATGTGGGAAAGGAGAAAGAAAGAAGAAATTAAAGACTGAACAATGATTTGTTTTTTAAAAATCCTTTTTTATATATGTTGGTTCCCGAAAATACAAATATTTATGGTAAATGGTTCTTCACATAACCTATTTAAGATGCACTGTGTGTGAAATCTGTATGTTATTTTCTAGTGTTAAGTTATTAGACAGCCGCGTCAGACTCTCAGACTGCATCATCTCCCTTCTTCCTTCCCTTTCCTCTTCTCTTGTGCTGTTTCCCCCTTTCCCTCTGCTGATTTCTGATACCTGGAGGTGAGGCTCTAGTGTTGTTTTTTTGAAGTCTGTGTAATATGGACCCTCTGCCCTCAGTGTAACTCCAGTATAGCAATCTCCTGTATATATATGTATATCCACTATGGGGAGACCCAGCCGCCTTATAAAGGGAAATAAAGAACTGTCCAAACTTCATACTGTACACGTTGCTTCACATGCTGTCTTTCACTATTAAAAGATAATCCTGGCATTTATTTGTGCTATATTTTTGTTATTGTCAACAAGCCTCTCAGGACTTTGACATCCTTTCCCTGTCTGTGGCTTTTAGCCCCAAGTCTATTGTTGGCAGTAAGAAAAATGCTGAACATTGCCTGTCTCGTCTGGTGTGTGTGTGTGTGTGTGTGTGTGTTCAAAAGACCATATCGCTTCTTTTTCAAATATTTATTTATAAAGCTATTTAAAAAAAACTAAAGGTTTTGTTACAAAGATCTTTTAAAATATATATTTTGGTATGTTGCCTCATTTGGTGTACGCCTCAGTGTCTTCAGACTGGGCATTCTCCACACACATCTTCAGGCCTTCATCATTACTCCATGCTGAGGCTGCAGAGATGCCTGATGCTGTGCTCACTTGGTCTTGACCCACATACTTTAAGCCTCATCACCACTGACGTGAACCGCTGAAGATGCTCAGAACACTTAGGAGTCTTTAGTCATAAGCCGTCAGCCATCACCGCTACAGTCACAAGTGTTACAGTAATGGAGAGGGATTTGCCTGTGATGCCCAGGCAGGAGTTGCAGTATGGCCAATCACAGCAGGTGTAGCTCATGGTGTAGACTGTTCCTTTGAAGTGGACACTGTGCACCTGGCTGCAGTCGCCCTTTGCCATGCAGCCTCTGGCTGAGAGGGCACTGTAGTTGCCGTAGCGAGCGTCTGCCATGAAGCACAGCTTGTCAGGACTGCACTCTGTCACAGTAAGCTGGAACATCTTCTCCTTCTCCACGATAGGGCTGAAGAAGCAGACCAGGTTGTCACATGTCAGTGAGGGGAGAAGGTAGAACCACAACACCACAACATGCAGGAGCTGTATCATGTTCTGCCTGCAAGGAGAGAGATGTATCCAGTATTTCATTGGCATGACCTAATATTGTGACTATAGTACACTAACAATTTACTGCTGACCGTCCATAAACCTGATGTATTTAGTGAGAGACATTTGAAAAACAGTGGATCAAACTTTACAAACACTGAATCCTACACCTCCCCTTATGCAAACTTATGTGTAAATGTGTAAATGCCCCCTTTTCTAATTCCACTTCCCATGTTTTTAAGGCAGAATTCCTATTAAATATTTGCAGACTAAGAGCTGCAATAAAGTCCAGCTGTCTGAGTAATTATCTCAGATTTGACAAAGCTGCTCCAGAATCCCCCCAAAATATAAATAGTTTTCACAGGCTCTGTAGTACTACCCTGTGACTAATATATTGACATGTAGAATCAGTGAGACATTAAGACATTTTGTAAGTTGGGTGACCTTGTCCAAATGTTAATGATCTCTGATTGTCACACTCAGCATGTTTAACGCTGCAGAGACACTACCTGATAGCACAAACTATTTTAGTGTGCAACTTTAAGAAAAACAGTATTAAGAACACTCACCTCTATAGTTTAAAGATTTTGAAATCCACTCAAACAGGCAGAACCCTTCTCCTTATGATCTTCAGTTCCCTGACTGACACCAACTCTTCTTGCCCAGACCACACCTTCTGGCACACCTGCTTGTAATATCTATATAGACAAGCTACCAAGTTGGAGCTGCATTTCCTCTTTGGAATACACCATGAGGGTGACAACCAACACCACCATTTTCTCTCCAGAGCAACAAAACGTAATCAGACAAAACACCTTTTTTTATGTCATGTTATTCAGTTAGCAAGCTCAAGCATTTGACCAAATGTCAAGTCACTTTTTGGGGATTTGGGTAAGTGCCCATGGCTGAAAAAGGCCTCTCCCAATATGTCTTCTTTAATGGAGTGGCAACTTGGTCCTTCATGATGTGTAATTTGCACATGAAGGCTCTTCTCCACTAATATTATTGATTCTGGCACCTGGTTTGACTGTGGTCACCCCCCGTAGCTTCCTCAGGTTGGTATCAGACTTCGGCAGATTGTTAACATTTGTCTTTGCAGCAGCAGGTGTGACTGACACATTATTCCTCTATAAGAGATGATTTCATGCTACTCACTGAGCTCCTTGCAGAATGTGGACAGTGCCATAGTGGCTGGAACAGGGCTGATTAGGTAAACATGGGCTAGTGTTACTGGGACAAAACTCACCTTTGTGCCACATAGGACAATAATAACACAACAGGTTTTCTAGAGTAAGAGCTGGGAGGACCAGGGCTATAGCCAACGGGATGGAAGCCAGGAGCCGGTGCGATCCCAAAATTCATCCATCCAGACTAATGTAGAACCACACAAGGAGCAAATTAGATGACAAATGCTTCCATCCAATTGCTCACAGTCATTACTTAGGGGTTTTATGGGTTTAAACAGTTTGTGTGGGTGTATTGTTCACCTGTTCTTTCCTTGTGATCCCAGCTTTCTGAAAATATTCAGATCTATCAAGCTGAGGAACCTCCAAACACCAACATAGCTGCTGATTGCCAAGCAGAAACAGGTGTGTCTGTGAAGCTAGCTGAGCTCAATTCATATAAATTGTTAGAAATATACACATGACACAAATGGATCTGATATTTTACCTTTTAGTTTATTGCCTCAAAATGACATTTTGCCCTATTCTCCAAAACATTTTACACAGTCTTTAAAAAAAAACAAACTCTTAACTGAGGCAAAACACAGGATTACAGTGCTATCTACTGGCTGATGTGAAGCATAATTATTCAGAATCAGCTTTATTGGTCAGGTATGTTTTTACACACCAGTAAATTGACTGGTACAGTGACTCTCAATGTGTATGTGCAACACTCTTCCATAAAGCAATGAGTAGACGGTAAACAAGATAAGACTGAGAAAACAAAAAAAGAATGAGCAAACAAGACAAAGGAATGTGCATTAGAAGATAAAAATAAAATCCTTATGTAGAATATCCACATTGTCTTTTCTTATTGATCATCTACAATTTCAGATTTATTTTCTGAAAAATAATAGACAAGATATTTTGCCTTTATGTGTGCTGTATGGTAACAAAACATAGGTAGAATGAACTGGAAAAAAAACTTCACATTTGCACTATGGACATAATTTCTCAAAACTACAATGTGTAGTTTAAGGTACCACTAGCATGAAACTTCCTCCCCCTGCTCCGCTAATATGCTCTACTACACTCCACCACGCTCTGCCCAGCTCTTCAGATATGTCGTTATGAAATTACAATAAATGAGAATGCAACAAAACTTACTGATCAAGCAGAAATAACTGAAAATCTCTGATTGGTTAGAGAGGTCACTCCCACTCAAAACCTTTAGAAGCTAAGTTTTCTGTTCTGCTGCCAGAGCTGTTCAGTGAGTTTTGGAGCATATTTCTACAACATAAATATTTGAAAGGAGAAAAAAAAGTCATATACTGTAACTTTAATAAAGCAGCCAGGCTGTATTTGTTTATCATCTGCAAACTATTTATCAAACTGGTACAGTACATTCTTGTTTATTATTTATTATGTACCATAGACGGATGAAAAAAAGAGCTTTCCCTCCTTGTACAAAGGTTCCTGTAAAGAAAATTCTGGATAAGTTGAAATGTTCATGTCCACCTACAGTATGTATATGCTAGACAACAATTTGCTTACAGTAAGCTCCTCGTCCTCCCTGTCAGCATTTCCCCAGTCTTCTTGTTCATCTGAGGCGTCATAGCTGTACAAAGGAATTAACCTGTGGCGCAGAGCCTCTGATCTGAATCAAAGCAATCAAAAGAAATCAAATTGTGACGGAGCATAAAAGATACCAAATTGGGAATGCTGCTGAAACCAGCTTACCTTAATTTTCTCCTGATATAAACAATCTGTGGAGATGTATAACAATACATAACTAATACTAAGGTTATGGTGCAGTTAAGTGAAATGAAAACAGACACAACAAAACTGTTCTTACCACTGCCAATGCACATCCAGTTAGAACGACTATTGCAAAGGGGATGAGTGCATAGTAACCTCGAAATCCAGGTTTAGGAGTAGGGGGTGAAATGTGTGTAGTTGTTTGGTTGGGATGCATTTCTTTCTGCTCGATCCCCTCCTCCATAAATCGCTGTGCTCTCTGAACCTCGGGTGTTGCCTTTGTGACACACTTAGTGCTGTGCCGTTGCTCTGATTTCCATTGAAAGGCCGTGGCGGATTATCTCACCTCATCAAAGAAGGCTCATCAATATTACCAGGAAGAGTCAAACACAGCACATAGTTTTCTATGAGCTTTATAAACCAAGTGTTTTAAGTGCAACAAATGCTGACAACATAGTGAGTCACAGTACAAAGAATATATGAGTAAATGTTGAAAAATCCACGTGATATAATCTTACCTTACATGTGCAGAGTATGTGAACTCTTATTTCCTTCTTGCTCCTTTTCTTTTCAGTTCACCAGAGATTCATTTACAGTAAAATTTTTGTTTAGCTCATCCTGTTCAACAACATTCCTTGACAAGGAGTGGATGTGATTTTTTCCATCACCTGTTGGCCTGGATAGATGCGTTTATCATGAAGATCTACTGCACAGTGGTATATTGGATTGTCACTCTATGTCAAAAATTTGACATACCTGGATTATTTTCTACATTTAATGTAATACAACTTAATATTGAGTGTAATTTAAACATGCAGTACTCTGTTTCTTCCAGCAGAGGCAATGTTACCTATGTTCAGGAAGTGGAAGAGGGGAGGAGGAGGGGAGGAGAGGGCTGAGGAAACACAGTCAGGCTTGAATTTACAAAGCTTGTGCAGGTCTAACTTGCTGTGAATGGCTTCAGTCAAGCATTCATTTCGTTGACCCGGGATGAGACACCAGTTAACAGAGCTTTGATGGTAAGTTGCCAACCAAAAACTTTACTCTACAAAAGATTACCCCTGGTATTTGGAGCTAGTCTTAAACTGTGAACTGTGAATATCCAGGTGGCTTTTATGAACTGAGATCCTTAGTAATCTGAACAGATTTTAGTTTTGTCTGAATAGCAGTTCAGTTATCTTAAGCAAATGTATTGTAAAGCTTCATGGTTTATTGCAATGATAATGGTTGTTTTGAAGATGTTTCACTTTGCCCAGGGGTAAACTTAGTAGACTTAGTGGTGCGTTCTGGTAGGTTTCCTGTTGAGATTTGAAAGGTGGTTAATTATTAGACCAACGTAAACTCTCAATCATTTAGACTCCAGTCATGAAACAGCTTGCTTGTTCAGCTTGCAGTATATCTCATACACTATTTTTAATTAAAAGTTCTGGTTTTTCATGATTTGTTTTTGTCATAACACCACATAGTTCTTTATTCTGCTATCCTATGAAATGAGGACATGCTGGGAATGTGAAACGCCGACATCCAGGAGGACTTGCATACATTTTTCCCTGAATTGTGATGGATCCTCCTGAAAGGCCAAATGGAATGATTCAGAGGCGAGATTCATGCATCACTGACTTGCCCATGCCTCTACAAGCTTTCAACATTTATGAGGAAATTCAGGAGACTATTGAAAACGGACAAGACCATGCACCGCCGCCTCTTCCCCCCCGGACACGGGTGCCCCTCAGCAACAGCCAAAAGCACCTATCCTGTGACCTCAATAAGCCTGCTCACAAACTTGTTCGTTCCAATACAGAAATAAACAATGATGTGAGTATGTGAAGCAAAAATCATGGCAAAATAAAATGACCTCAATTAAAAGTAGCACGATCAGAGAACTTGTCTTTTTGAACACCAGGATCTATGGACCATCAAACTAATGGACACCCCACAAGGCAGCACCAAGAGGCTGGCTTCATTTTGTCAGGCAACTTCCAAGTAAGAGAATGATATGAAATTTTGTTTCTACATATGCAATTTTAACTGATTAAAAATAAACTTCACAGGATAATTTTGTCTGTATATGATGTGCAGTATGACAAAAAAAAAACTTTTGAATGAACTGACAGAAACAACAGAAATTTAACATTGTTTTTAAAGTGAGATTCATGTTGTTCATATCACATGGCGTCATGATACTTCTTACACTGGTAACCTGTTTGTCTTTACTGCCTCTGACAGGCTGATGTCACGTTACAAACACACAGACAGTGTTCATAACTCAGGTGTGGTTTGGGGTCGGTTGTTACAAATCCACCCCGCCCTGCTGCAGCAGGTAGAGGTGACTGTCAGTGTGGCCACTGAGTGGGATGATCACCAACTTCACTTACCCACCTCAGGTGAGATGCTAGTCCCCCCTCCTCAGTCATTTAGAGTATTTACGATAACTGTAGACATGTCACATCTCCAGCCTTAAGGTTACTTGGACAACACTTTGAGAATATAGAGCAAAAACAAACATAGTACCATAGTACTGCACATCTGGATTTATGGCGGTAAAATGCACCATCTTAATCTTAGGGTTCGGAGCAGATATAAAACAACAAAAACATTTGAAAAAAGAGAAATATTGAAGCTTTGAAAAATATATGGACTTAACTAGCAATAGAGAAGTAGCAACATAACTGGATTGGACAGAGTCATTTCTGGGCAAAAGGTAAAAGATCTGTAGTGTATAACATGAAATACATGATCTGATTCAGGGAAAAACGGTGTGGATATTATACCAACACCCCATATTTGTGTCATTGTATACGTTTTATGTGTTGAATCTTATGCTGTGTAATTTTTTGTGCTTGAAAATCTGAAGCTATAAATTAAAAAAGAATGCTGTACAGTATTGTTATAAAGTGTACACTGTTTGTGATACCACATCTCTTGATCAGTGGTTGTCATGTAGTATCCCTGCAAATGTTGGCTGAAGTGTGTGGACTCTGAACTTTAACCTTTTATGCAGTGAACAGGACAGTGAAGAGTCTGATTGATGAAATCTTCCAGCTGCTGGATCGCACTCCCAACACAAGTGGCCGTTATGTTCTCAAACTCTGTGACTCTGAGGAGTATCTCCAAAAGTAAGTCACAAACCAGACATGAATTAGTTTTATGTTATAATGTTTTAGTCAGTAATGTTAAATTCACTCATAGTGTGATTCCCCTTTCCTTGTTTAATTTAATGCACTGTATGTAATTTCCTACATCTCTTTAGTGAGGAACTGCTAGGTATGCATGAGGTTATCCAGATCTACTACAAGCTTAAACTAGTAGTTCCCCTACGACTGCTTCACATGAACAACATCAAGCACCTTCTGGCCAGGGATGTAAGTCAGTTCAAACTCTTTCTTTCCTCACCTACAGTATATGTCTGTGCTAATTCTGTCATCCAGGTCAGTATGCTGGAAAAACACTGAAGAAGGCATCTGGATGTAGTTTTAGGTAGAAGACGTTTCACCTCTCATTCAAGAGGCTTCATCAGTTCTGTCCGACTGGTGGTGAGCAGGAGGTATTTATCCCACTGGGTGGGGTTTCAGTGCTTTAATGGCCAACAACTGTCCCTAACAACTGAGTCATCAGGCTCTGGTAGTCGTGACCTGTCTTTGAACCCTCACATGTGGACCAACACCCATTGTCCTGGTGCGAATTGGGGTGGAACTGTTTGGGTAGAGATTTCAAAGCAGAACTGTAGATGGATGACAAGTTGTGACAGAAACCCCACCCACTTCCTGGTCAGGCAGTACTGATAAAGCTCTCTTGGATGACAGGTGAAACGTTTTCTATCTAAAACTATGTCAAGATGCCTTCTAAGATTTTTCAGCACCTACAGTATATGTCGTCTACTAATAAGGGTGGCTTATCTTTAGTCTAGAAATTCTGCTTGTCCAAACAACTGTTCCTGGCCCTTGGCCAGCTTCTTATCATGAAGGTAACCTCCACCCTCTGTTGTCACAGTTGGCATTTAGCAGGTGAACCATGTCCTTAGATCTATGGTTATATAAAGCCAAAATGTACATTCTAGTGCCACTTAGTGATTCTACATGCTTTATTTAATATAAAGTTTACTATATGAGAATATGTATTCATTCAAAAACACAGCACAATTAAGCCCACCATCCTACAAAGCATTTCAGCTTCTTTATTCTCTAAGGGAGCAGATGACCAGACCCAGTGCCAGCTGTACCAGTACCTGCATCCTGTCCGTGTTTTTAACACCTCCAAGTAAGATGATTAGCAGCGCTGCATTCCACATGAGCTTTGCCTGATGAGTTTAGTAAAAACAACAAGCATGTCATCAAATAGTGCTTGTTTATAGAAAACAGGAAAGGTAGCTTGATACTGTGGCTCCCTACCACCTTGTCATCTGTTTCTAACCTCTCCTCTCTCAGGTATAGCCTGCACAAGCTGCTCCTTAGCTACAGCAAAGAGATGACAGGACTAATGAAGAGTAAGGTCAGTAATAACAAGATAGCCAGTGGGAGACACTTCCATGCATTTCTCTCACACATATGATTCATTTTGATTCTTGGTTCTGATCTCATTGTGTCCGTAGTCTGGGGCGAATATTAACACACTCGTCAGACGTGTTCGCACCATCAGCAATCTTCTGTGCGGGATCTCATGTCAGGAGCTGGAGGATGCCATTGGCTGGCTCAACAGACTCAATCCAATATTTCTGGTAGGATGTGCCACTTGTGATGTATGTATGTTGCATTCGATATAATCATACACAGCATACGGCGTACACTGACTGGCCGTGGGAAAGATTAAGTTAATATTACAGTTATGCAAAGAAAATGCAAAAATAACTGACTTAGCTTGACTATAGGCTAAATGGGTCAAATAAACATGGAACATTTGTCCACTCCCTTTTTAAAAATAATGAGAATGAGCTGCTAATTGTCCCTCATCATACTTCTTATGAAATACTCATGGATTTAAAATATTTGATAGGCATTCCCGCAGTAAAATGATGACATTACTATGCCAAGAGTATGGTGAGCTATTGTGACGCTACACTACCCCAAACCTGTCGAATGAATTGCCTTCAGTAACCTCCTACCTCAGTAACCTACCTCCAGTTTACATTCAACAACAATGGGCTGTTTTGTTTTACAGAGTCAAGATGAGACATCAGATTATGAAAGTGGTGAGTAGCTGCTCCTCGGGGGCGTGCATGTCTTTCTATGATTGTGTAGGCAGGTTTTAGGTGGGGCCCATCATTTTGAAGACATTTCAATACTGTGAGGACATTTTGACACTGCTCTACACTTCACCTGTCAGTGATTATGCAAAATGCTGTTTTGTTCAAAATCTCAACTTAGTACTCGCTATAGTGAAACCTACTGAGTGTCTGTTAGATCGGGAGTAGTAAATGAGTGAACGAACAGTGGAGTGGACTCTACTCCAGCACAAGCTCTAAATAACACAAGCGTAGGTTTGTTAAGAGCAGCTGTCAAAGCAAGTTACAGAAAGAGATGAGGAGTGACTTCAGCAGCACTGTCAAATGAATGTGATAGTAAGTAATACGGTGATAATTGCTGACAGATACTGAAATAAACAGTTGATGTAATTCTATCCCTCTTATAACCGCATTGTAATGTTATAAACAATTTAATAAATGTGTGTACAATGCAAATAAATGCTAATGCTTAAAATAAAGTGTTGCCCATTTGGTATAATAACCTTTTGATTTGATGTAGGGATGGTCATGCTCCATGGGGCGCTGCTAAAAGTGCTGCAGATCTTTTTTGACAACTTCCTGACAGACTTCAAGGCGCAGGAGGTGACGTGCTATGGGCAAACCCGTTCTGTGGACCACAACAATGAAGTCTTGGAGTTCAAGATTGCTGCACTTTACAAACTACTTCCCACCTGGAGGACCAGGTATGTCTGCATTTATACAATGCACAAATACTGCACATGCACACAAACAGAAACAATAACCACATGTCTGACATGAACTCGGGGGTTTGTGGTTTTCTTCTCTCTTGTTGCAGTTATGAGTGCTTCTCTGTTTCCTGTCAGTTGACATATGGAGGAGTGAAGCTCTCCAACACCGGCCATTCTGAAAACATCAGCACCGCCTTGTTATTTGGAAACCAGATCTACTGTAACCGCGTGTAAGAGCAAGATCTGTTGATAACAAAGTGAATCTGCAGAATCAGCTTTGCTTACTGTTCTATTTTCATTCTGGTAGCCTGGCTCTTTTTATACTGCCATGTTGTGCATAAGAAATTTATATGAATTCATTTTAATACAGATTTGTAGGCAGTATTAGAAAATATAAAAATTCAGCAAAAAAGCAAGGCAAAAAGATTTGAGCTAACATAAATAGATAGCTATGAGAGGAATAACAAGGATATATGTAAATATCTTTACTGTAGGTTTATGTTTTTGATTTTAGGATGGTGTTCCCTGTTCCAGTAAATGAGCTGCCATATGAGAGCATGTTGACGTTTCACCTCAAGGGCACTAAGAAAGGAAAGAGCCCAGATCTTTTAGGCTGGGCTGTGCTACCTCTTTTCAGCAACAAGTACGTTGCGCACAACAGTGTTTACACCTCTACACCCTCTCAGGTTTTAGGGGGATTTAGAAGGGAACGATGAAGTTCATAGATTTCATATTGTCAAAGACGTACACAAACTAGTGATTCATTACTGCACTTCCTTTAAGTCAAGAGATTAACAGCTAAGAGGTAGGTTAAACAAAAAATAGGATCATTTTATTAGACCCTCCCTGCCTTTAAATGCCTAAATATTTTTAACTGTATGCCTCCGGTGTGCAACATGTAGTCTCTCTCTGCTAAAACTGTAGTTTCTAAGTCCAGTTGATGACATTGTTGTCCTCCAGGGTCAGAGAAGGCATCTTAACAATGTTTTCCCAGTCTGAGTAGTACTCCACATGGGTAGTAATCTTTGTGTAAAATTGGTAAAGTTAAAACTACTTTTTGATTGTGAGCTTTGGAGAAAGTCCAAATATGAGGGATGCATCATAATTGCAGTGAATTTTTTGACTGCTCTGACTCTGTGTTGCCACAGTCAACCCTCAGACATCTACAGTATATGTAGGGTGCAGTATGAAGCATTTTAAGGGATGTCAAATTGGGGGGAAAAGCCATTGTAGTATATGTATTCTGTGTGCATAGGACTCTGGCAAAAGGAACCATCCTGCTCAGTATGTCTACAATGACAGGGATGCCTGCTCCTCCTTCCCCTGCCCTGTTTGACAGCCACACACAGGCACTCGGGGTCATTCTGCAGGTCAGTAATGCTGAACAACTCTGCCCCCTGTTGACTAGAATACAAATGACACCTGCTCAATCATTCACCGCCCAATTGTTCCTTAGCTCGAGTTTCAAGATCAATTCCAATGGACATATTGGAGGCCCATCGCACTCCCTGGTTCAATAATATTCTCTCAACCTTGTGAGACACTACAAAAGAGAATGTTAGATGTCTCAAAGAAGCACTGCCTCTGCTTGTGAGTAGAAGAAAATACTATACATGTATTCTGAACTACTGCATGTGTATTTGCATAGTGTGCAGGGTTTCACATTTTTGGACATACTGTATAATATTTAAATGGAGTTTATATTTACTGCATCCCTAAACACATTCCTGAAATGTCTCCTTGCCCAGTCTAACGGAAAATGAGAAGTCTTTCCTCTGGGAAAAGCGGTACTACTGTAACAAAGAAAATGCTTTCTTGCACCTGCTGCTGGGTGGAGTCCCCCAGTGGAGCCCTATAAACCTCACAGAAATCTATACTATCATTGAGAACTGGCCCATCCATTTACCTGAGGAGGCTCTCTTCCTGCTCAGTGACAGGTAGGTTACTCTGGGTTCACTTAAAGGAAAATGCACTCACTGATTTTGCAAAGACCAATAAATATCTAAATAATAGATAACCTACAATACACAGAAAAACTTTAGCTGTTGTTTGTTATATAATGTGTGTTTAATGCTAACCACACCCCGACTGCCATACGATATGTGCATCATGTAATGGGATGAGACAAGTAACCCAAACTTACATCTGTGATCACAGCCATAATTCAGATCTTCATGATGTCTTTTTCAGTTTCCCTGATCAGACTGTGCGGCGGACTGCAGTTCAGTACTTTGAACAGATCCCAGATGGAGAGCTGGAGGTTTTCCTGCCACAGCTTGTACAGGTAAGCACACTAACAGCCACTATTAACTCACAAATACTTGTGTACACTTCATTCTCGCACCTATGCAATTATTACTGTACCTTGTATAAGTTAATATTTCAACACAGGCCCAAACCATTATTTAACTGGTTTGAGCCTTCAGATTTTCAATATGGGTCCAGGTGGCACACTTTGTAATTTCCTCAGTAGTTTGATGTTGGTATAATCAGTCATCCTGTCCTGCAGGTTTTGAAGAGTGAGTGGGAGCTGGATGGACCTCTGGTGATGCTGCTGTTGGAGAGATCACTGAAGAGCATACGAATCGCCCAGCAACTCTACTGGTGAGCAGCAGAGTCGGACATCAACCTGAGGGGATGTGCAGTGGATCTGGAACACTGTTGTCATTTCATTCACTTGAGCCTTTTTGAAACGTATATTAACGCACTGTAACGACAGTTTGCATAAAAGTAAATTTCAATATTCTCTTGTAATGTTGGAATGAATATGATAGGTTTAAAATGCATTGATATCTCTGCCTGTATATTGCTTTGTTTTTGTGCTTAGTTTTATGAATTATCAGTGTTTTACTGTATATGCTGGCAGGCTGCTGGAGGATGCCCACAATGAGCCCTACTACCAGAGTTGGTATAGTAAGATCAAGGCTGCCCTGTGGCACTGTTGTGGCCAGGCACTGAGGCAGGAGCTGGAGTACGAAACCTCCCTAGTGTCTGTGCTTGTACAGGTTGCTGAGAAGGTCCGCACTGCTGAAAAGGCTCGACGCAAGGTCTGTAAATAGATTGGTCATCTACCCATTTATGCAAAGTACGCACTCGCTTACTTGCTTATAATTCTCCATTGTTAAGAGTGATGCTATATGTAATGTGCTCTATCTCATTATTTCATTTAATGCATTTCTCTGCAGAATGTTTTGAATAAAGAAAAGTGCAAGATCAGTGAGGTCTTCAGCAGTGGGATCAGCTGTTGTCTGCCACTGGATCCTGCAGTCCGTGTAAAGGCAGTGGACCTGGATGTAAGAACCTTACACAACACATTATTCCTATATCATTGTTCTTATCTAATATAAACACGCTCTGTCATTTTGGAGAAGCCTTACCCTTTGTGATATATTACTTATAGGCCTGTAGGTTCTACAATTCCAATGCTGCTCCTCTTGGGATCTCATTCATCTGTACTGATCCTCTGGCCAAGAATGTCAGTGTCATTTGTAAGGTCGGTATTAATATGGTGCTTTGTTTCTCCAGGTTGTGTTTTTGCTTTTTTCCTTCAAGGGCAAATCAAAGATCGTGACAGAACACTTTGTACATACTGCTAGACACAAAGGGGACACTTGTGACATGGTACTTGGATCATCTTGCTCGTTTTTTATTTACTAAATGTGTTGTGCAGACAGGAGACAACCTGCGTCAGGACATGCTGGTACTTCAGATAGTCCGTGTGATGGACAGAGTATGGCTCCAGGAGGGGCTGGACCTGCAAATGATCACCTACAGATGTCTCTCTACTGGCAGAGCACAGGGTGAGGTGGATTTATGTGTCTGCATTTTCAAGTGCACATTAGTAGTCAGCTCCTTCTTCAGAAGAAGGAGCTGAGCTGTAAGGTGAAGCTCTCGATTTACTGGTCAGCTCCTTCTTCAGAAGAAGGAGCTGAGCTGTAAGGCGAAGCTCTCGATTTACTGGTCAGCTCCTTCTTCAGAAGAAAGAGCTGAGCTGTAAGGTGAAGCTCTCGATTTACTGGTCAGCTCCTTCTTCAGAAGAAGGAGCTGAGCTGTAAGGCGAAGCTCTCGATTTACTTCAGAAGAAGGAGCTGAGCTGTAAGGCGAAGCTCTCGATTTACTGGTCAATCTACGTTCCGACTCTCACCTATGGTCATGAACTTTGGGTCATGACCAAAAGGGCAAGATCCCAGATACAGGCGGCTGAAATGAGCTTTCTCCGCAGGGCGGCCGGACGCACCCTTAGAGATAGGGTGAGGAGCTCGGTCACCCGGGAGGAGCTCAGAGTAGAACCGCTGCTCCTCCACATCGAGAGGAGCCAGCTGAGGTGGCTCGGGCATGTGTTTTGGATGCCTCCTAGTCACCTTCCTAGGGAGGTGTTCCGGGCATGTCCCACCGGGAGGAGGCCCCGGGGAAGACCCAGGACACGCTGGAGGGACTATGTCTCTCAGCTG